ATATAATATATATATATGATATATATATATATCACACACACATCATATATATATATGCATATGTGTATATGCATATCTATCTATCTATCTATCTATCTATCTATCTAATATATATATATATATATATATAATATATATAACATATATATATACAAACATATACATAGTATATATATATATATATATATATATATATATATTATATATATATATATATATATATATATAATATATATATGTGTGTGTTGTGTGTGTGTGTGTGTGTGTGTGTATATACACATATATGCAAACATATACATATGTATATATGCATATATCTATCTGTCTACCTATCTATCTATATACATATATACATACATACACACACACACACACACACACACACACACACACACACACACATATATATTATATATACATATATATATATATATATATATTTACACACATATATATAATAGAATATACATATGTATTATATATATATATATATATATATATATATATATATATATATATAATATTATAATATATATATATATACACACACACACACATATGTGTGTGTGTGTTGTGTTGTGTGTGTGTCTACATGTACATAAATATGATAATTATTACTACTAAAAGATAGTCGACAGGGATTTGTACATCCCCAAATATGCATCTCTCGACCTCGAGCGTCTACTCGCCTTTTCCACAGCTTTCCCCTTTCCAAGAGAGCGAGCGGCGGCGGCGTCTTGGCCAACGCTCCAAATGGATCCATCAGAATGCAAGTTGACTGAACGAGAACGAATCGCTAGATTGCTAGACGATGACCTCACTGTTAGGACATCGTAAGCTGTCTAGGATTCAGATTTTTTTTCTTCTCCTTTTCGGTGGTGATGAGAGGTTAGAAATATCTCAGGCTCCGTGAAGAACCCAAGGGAATTCATCTTTGGAAGAGGTTAATGATTAGGTATGTTGAGAGATTGCAGTTGGTGGGTCTTGTGTATTACAAAAGACTGACGCACAAGTACACGACACACAAGTGAAACTATGAGGCATAACCGTTGACCTGACGTCATGCAATCCCTTCCTTTTTACTTCACAGCCTAAATTCTACTTTAAGTATATGCGTCATGTGCCAAATATTATATGCAAGGCTTTATTCTTATCATTACCCATACAGATATTTTAACCTATTGCTTCCGCGTTCACTGACTTTCCTTTCGCGAATTTCGTTTCACATTGGATGGTTCCCCAAGCACTGAGCAACTAAGGAGCCAAATAGCAGGCCTATGTGATCCCTGATTCCATTAATATCGTTTTTACTATTATTGCTGTAAATCAACAAACAACCAAAGTAAATGTTGTATTTGTTTTGCCATCCTACCATCAATGAATTAAGATCGGTAAGAATGAGTTCTGTCTTTCTGCACATTTCGAAACAATACAGTACCAAAAATAACAACCTCAGTTACGCCTCCAAAAGCACTGAGGATCAACAGGTGTTCGCAAGTAAAGTGACAAAATGCTGCTGGTGTTCATAGGTAATGCATGATACATTCTTATCTCTATTGTTGTTCGGCAAGGCGATGCTAAATAAAGACATCAACGCCTAAATAAACCTTTTGGAAGCTCTATTATAATGTACCTTACAGGGGATACGACGTGCTTCTTAGAATACCACACGCCCCTTTGTCACCAGGAGTGCCCCTCCCTGTATAAGGCTAGAAGGCACTTGGGTACATTGCAGTGGGATGGTTGGATGGGATACACAAGGCCCTTGTTTTATATTTCAGAAGAAAAACGTTATGGTGCCAAGGTCAACTGCTTATTTATCCTCTGCAATTATTATCATATTTCTGTTTCATTTTATTTATATTCACTGAACTATTTTTGTTTATTTATTACTTACATCGACTTTTATTTTGTTTTATTTTTATTCATTTTCAAGTTCTATTTATTCATTTATCTATTTTTACCATTTTCACACATCGTTCATTATCAGTTATCAGCTAAAAGCATTTCCTATTATCAGCGACCATTGATTACTTCTTTCAGTCTGTGCGGGTTGGCTGGCGAAAGGGCATTGTCCAGCAGCTATTTTTTTCCAAGCAAGTTTGAGACCAAAGTAAAACTGGCGTTGATTCGAGTTTACACACTATTGGCATTCCGGTTATAAAGGTCTACAGGTATCGGCTTACGAATGCTATTGTAAAGCATATGAAAATGATTAGCATAAGTAACGCGTGCGGACATTCTCGCTAAGGTTAATTAAGTCCCAAGTCGAGAATTACTAACCCTTTCAATAGGCATTAGAATAAATCGACAAACGTTGAGACATTCAAAAGTCCTCCCACGATATAATACAACATATAGCTCATTATTCCATCAGATAGTTTAAAATACGTATATGCAGCACTGGCAAACGATCAGTAATTATCGGGATGTCAACTTTTACTTACAAAAAAAGACGTAGTTTGTCTTCACTTGCAACCATTGAGCCATTCTGTGTCTGCAGCATTGTTATCACCCTCCTCCTTACGATGTCCCATTTATTTATTTATTTATTTATTTATTATTTAGAAACCATTGTTATTGCTTTGGGATAAATTCTGAACCAGGTATTTAGATTATAAAGCAGCGTAATGAATCTTGACCTAAATTTACCTGTAGAAGTTACTTTCCTCGATTATAACAACTGGCACATTTGTCCCCTCCCAGGATGTACCTTTTACAAAAGTCAATGATTTTGTAATGTTCTTTTTTTGTCATATATCCTTTATATTGTTTTATAACCAAAGAAAAAGTCAAAAGAATATTGCTTCTTTAGAATCCGACAGAACCTAAAGAGCACAGGCATTTTTGAAAAGCTTTTTCTTTAAGTATAGCCATTTTGTTCACATCATTGATCAGCTGACCTAAGCTTATTCTTTATTCTTTTATTTTTTTTCTAAACAAAACATATTTAATTTGGATCGTTACTTCTGCTGTTATTATTTGCTTTATTTGTTTTCGTGATTTTTTTCTTTTTTTTCTAAGATCATAGACAAATGAATGAAGATGAAGGGAAAAGAGAATGAGATGAAGAAGATGATGAAGAAGAAGAATGAGAAAAATAGGAAGAAGAAGAAGACGAATGACATGAAAAAAAACAAAGGAGAATAAAAAAAAGACGGAGGAAAAAGCAGTAGCAGAAGAAGAAAAAGACGAAGATGGAAACAAAGAAGATAAAAGGAGGAATAGAAAGAAGGGGAGGAAAAGAAGATGAAAAAGACAAAGAAACGGAAGAAAAGAGCCAAACACTACACGATGGCAGTGGCGATGCCCGGCGCACGACGACCCAAATCTCCGAGAAGTGTCTAGGTGTCCACTGCCAAAGATTTTTTTTAATTTGTTTGTTTTTATCTTTTGCTCCGCAGCAAAAGGGCCGTTTCCTCCCGTAACCCGAATGTCACTTGTTGCCATTCAGTGTCTGTGCCAAAGTTACGTGTTCCACCGTCAGTTGTGAGAGGGAGAAATCGCTTTTGACAGGTATTCAGTCACTCAATATTCTGTGACAAGTGTAATCAGTAATAATAATAATAATCATTGCTATTGTTGTAGTCTTGATATCACTATTATCATCATTTTTGTTGTAATCATCATCAGCAGCATCACTATCATGATTTTCATTATTGTTGCTTTTGATGTTGATACGATCATCTTGATTATCATTAATGTTATTGTCTTTGTCATCATAATCATTGTTGTTATGATTATTTTCATTTGCACAATCATTGCTATTACTGTTATTATTATTTCCATCTTTATTTTTATCATTATCATCATCATAATCATTATTACCAATGGCTATAAACGCAGAATCCCTTCAGTGAACAAAGATCATGGAAAAGAACGAAGCGAAACAGGAATACAGATAAAGCAACGCCCAGGAATCCATCAAATATGCATTGGCTGTTTCTTTAACCTTGTCAGAGTCGTTGTCATTAAACAATGTCGTTTCCAAGCCACACCTTAACCATATTAGGGGAAATGTTACATAATAACTTGTTACGTGAACAAAACTTTGGTATAGAAACGTACGTTTATTCAGCTAAGTACTATAACGTGTAGGAAGAAGAGGTTGAAATACGGTTATAGCGCAGCAGCCACTTGGCGATAGAGATCTGCTCACCGGACATGTTAGGTTAAGCATTAACAATTTTATCAGTTAAAAGAATAAAAAGATAATCATTCAAAAATTTAAAATGATGTCCACTGCCAGTGTTCTGTATGAAATCAAATAAAGGTATATGTAATATTTAAGGTAATATTATCATCGTTCAAAGTGGCTCTTCTACTTGACAGATCAGCTCCCTAAGAAGTTAAAGACGTGATTTTTCTACTGTGAGTCTCAAAAGCCAATTTCCTGATGTAGCCCCAAGTATGCGAGTTCCAAGAACATAGTACTTATAATGATAAAGAGGAGAGGGGTAAAGCCATTGTTGAATGACGAGATAAGCGTAACGTTTTTTGACGCCGAGGAAGGATTCAATCTGCTAATTTGTACATGGACGATCACAGCCAAATCTCTATACCAGTGATCACCGCAAAACGTTATTACAGGTCTGTTCCCCATAATATCACGAACTGTATGGCATTATTGGCTGTCTACTGTCTACTACGGTACATTGTGTGCCTCTGTGTGTGTGTGTGTGTGTGTGTGTGTGTGTGTGTGTGTGTGTGTGTGTGTGTGTGTGTGTGTGTGTGTGTGTGTGTGTGGTGTGTGTGTGTGTGTGTGTGTGTGTGTGTAGGTTTGTTTCTAATTGCACAGATCATGAAGAGGTAGAACCCTAACTAGAATAGAATCAGTATCAAGTAAGTATGAGAATTTCCTTAACAAGGTGTGTGTGATGGGGTTCCTGTCCCTCTTCCATTCCTCGATTAAGGAGATCCAGCGACACGTTCATGGCTCTACTGTTAGGGTGAGAACCTGCATTTAGCATGGGTTTGAACTGACATACGATGATACTTACATACATGTATAATCCGGCCGTTTTAGTGGTTTCTTTCGCGCCAAGCAGAGCACGTGTCTGAAGGCAAAACAAACGTATTTTTTCCATTAAATGATTCCTGTCTAGAGAGAATGTCTGCCGTTAAGCTAATAATAACAAGTGGTATTACAAAAAAAAAAAAAATCAATACATTTCTCCCACACACAAAAAGATGATAACAATAATCAAATAAGAAAGAAGTTAGAGACCGTTACTGATACAGGCAATTTAAACGAAGACATGATGATCCTCTATCCACCAAAATCGATTATCAGTAGGAAAATCTTGCCTTGGCTCCAAATCAGTGATCATTGCTCGATTAGCCAGGTTGTTGCATGCAGTCGCGCTTGTTAAAGAAACGACACTTTTTGTGTGTGTGTGTGGGGGGGGGGGGATATTTCTCGCTTTGTTTCCTTTCTCTCGCGTTATTATCTATCTTATTTGTTATTTCTTGTATTTTCTTTTCTTTATGGTTTTGGTAGATGTCTGAGAGTAAAGGGGGTGAGGAGGAGAAGAGAGAGAGAGAGAGAGAGAGAGAGAGAGAGAGAGAGAGAGAGAGAGAGAGAGAGAGAGAGAGAGAGAGAGAGAGAGAGAGAGAGAGAGAGAGAGAGAGAGCGAGAAAGAGAGAGACGAGAGAAAGAGAGAGAGACGAGAGAGCGAGAGAGAGAGAGAGCGAGAGCGAGAGAGAGAAAGAGAGAGAGGAGAGAGAGCGAGAGAGAGAGAGAGAGGAGAGAGAGAGAGAGAGAGAGAGAGAGAGAGAGAGAGAGAGAGAGCGAAGAGAGAGAGAGAGAGAGAGAGAGAGAGAGAGAGAGAGAGAGAGAGAGAGAGAGAGAGAGAGAGAGAGAGAGAGAGAGAGAGAGAGAGAGAGAGAGAGAGAGAGAAAGAGAGAGGAGAGCATTTAAATAGAACGAGAGAGAGAGAGAGAGAGAGAGAGAGAGAGAGAGAGAGAGAGAGAGAGAGAGAGAGAGAGAGAGAGAGAGAGAGAGAGAGAAGAGAGAGAGAGAGAGAGAGAGAGAGAGAGAGAGAGAGAGAGAGAGAGAGAGGAGGAAGAGAAGAGGCAGCCAGCGGGGGAGAGAGCAGAGACAGCCAGCCAGACAGATAGATGGAGAGAGAGAGAGTAGCCAAGAGGAAAAACAACTTTAATGGAAATTCAAGAAAGTTACAGAGGCGAGTGCTAGCATATGTGTATATCGAATCTGGCCTTATGCAAATTCTTTCTGTCAGTGTACCTAATTTGTCATTTTCACATGCAATGCTTAGATGAAGAATTTATGTAGGATTTTGTATGTAACAAAACGAAAGCAATGGAAAGTTGTTACCTTTCCTTTCAACGAATTGCAGAACCGGTCATTTCTTCATTAATTTCTGTCTCGTCAGTTTACCTTTCACTTTTTGAAGTTGCAGTTACAGAGGCCGGTCGCAACTTCAACATCTCTGTGCTGGTCTTGTATCTATTTCTCTACAACGAAATAGTTCACCTCATTCCTACCTATACTTAAGGACGAAAAAGAAAAGAGAGTGAATACTTATTAAGTCATGTTTTCTACATGGAAACATTTGATGCGCGCAAAAGACATAACCACATAATTTGGGATATTCTTGATAATTATGTTAATCATCTGACTACGACCACCACGCATGGCTTTCCCGATAGACTACGACGCGCCACTTTATGGCTCGCCGGACTACCTTGGGTGAAACATCGAATAATAGCAAAATGACATACCTTAAAGGCCTAACAACTCTGAGATACGAAAGGGAAATGTTGAATCTGAGGTGTACATGTTTGTATATAATATATATATATATATATATATATATATATATATATATATATATTATATATTATATAATATATATATATATTATATATATATATATGTGTGTGTTGTGTGTGTGTGTGTGTGTGTGTGTGTTGTGTGTGTGTGTGTGTGTGTGTGTGTGTGTATGTATGTATAAATATGTATGTATAACGATAAGCTAAACAAATAGGACAAATAAGTGTTATTAGGTTAGGTATCAACAAAACCTTACGTCGTAGTCGGTCACATGTCGAACTCGAGCGTCGAACCTTGTGTTAAGACACAACTAATGATCATTAAGCATCTATTTATATGGCAGCCTTAACCAACAAATGAAATCTAATCATTATGAAAGGCAGGTCATAACTTAAACGGAATATCGCACACACGCAAAACATGGTCAGAGAAATCCGAATTTCTACCATTACAACCGTGACGCCTTGTTTGGCCTCTGCGTCTCAGTAACACTTGGACACTCTAGCCTTTGCCATTAACTTTCATTGGTGGAAAAGTAAGAGCCAACCATGACCTTTCGAGGTGTATTCAGATTGTTATTGGGAACACGAAGGGCCATGAATATTTACAAAGATCACCGTGACGATAAAAAAGATGAGGAGGTTTAGTTTCACAAGGCCAGGCGTGCTTGATGTCTTCTTCGGAAAAAACCCGTGTCGTTTATTTACAATCTACATCAGAAGTCAGATAAGGATTGAAAAATCGAAGTCCTAGTGATTCATCTTATCTCGTGGAATTATTCATTTTCATTTTTTTCAATACTAGTCACAGTATTCTTGTCATATTGTTTATTGCCATTTATTTTTTTTCAACATTCAGCGATAAAGTAAAACTATAGAGCTAAGTGTTACTAGCTCTATTAGAGTTCAACAGAGAAGTCCTTTAGATACTGTAGACTAGGTCTCAGCTTCACATTTGAAAAATAACTGTAAATCAGCAGGACAAGCAGAGATAATTGGCTTCACGACTTCGAAGATTAATAAAACTTCTTAAAGTCGAGTGTTTAGTTGTGTTGTTGAAGCACATGACATTATTCATTCTCATTCATTTTTCTTATTTTTCATTCTTAGGTATCATGCATTTTTCCAGTAAACTGTTGTCCAGAACCCAATGGAGTTCGTGTTGACAGCGGTTGAAGGTAACAAGAAATAACATGAACAAATCTGCTTTTGAGGACGACTTCCGAAGTGACTTTGAACGAGACAAGAAAAAGTAAATCCGGGTTGAAAAATAAAGGCAAGTAGTTAGCCAAAAGGAGTAAATGAAAGTCAGTGAAATAGTGTAAGGAAAAGGAGAGCAGAGCACATCGCAAACTACATAATGAATCACATACCGACAAACCTATGTTGTATAAGTACTTGCTATGTTAAGTGCTATTTTTAAGTATATCTAGGATCTGGAATTTGGCGACTTTTAGAGTCAGTTATGAAATAAATTTTTTGTTATAT